GGGGGGTGGGTCTCTCCACCCTCGGTCTGGGACGCAGAAAAGACCTCGCGGGAGGCGGAGACGCGGATGGACAAGGGGTCCCGAGGCTGGGTACATGTCTCTCTCGGGGTCCGATAGATCGGGCAGTATCTCACCTGCGGAGAGTTGGGGAGGCGGGTGTGGGGGTCGGAAGTCTGCTCCAGGCCCACGGGGAGAATCGAACTGGGCGCGGGACTGGAAACAGGCGAGGCAGGAGTCCCGGGGACGCCCCAGAGCCGCACCATGCAGGTGGCGCAGGCAGCGGCAAGCAGCAGCAGCGCGGCGCTCAGAGCCCAGGGCAGCGGGTTGCAGACGCGACCCGGGGACGCGGGCGACCGCTGGGCCTCGGGGTCCGGAGTGACGGGTGTGTTGGAGTGCATGGCCGGCTGCGGGCGGCTGCGAGCCGGGTCCAGCGCACGGCCCTTTATAGCTAAGCCCCGCTTTCCGGGGAGTGGCCCGTGGGGATCCCAGCGACCCGCTGGGTAGGTTGGTTCCCGCCCGCCCCGCCCCGTGCGGCCCCGCCCCTCCCCGGCCAACATCAGTCCAAACTTTCCCCAACTTTCTCTTCCCTGAATCTCTCTCCGTCTCCTTTTCTCTCTGTAGCTCTCCACGCTCTGCTCCATCAAATCCTCTTGATGCCCAGTTATCTCTCTTGCATCTCCCTGGTTATCTCCTCGCCTCTATGCTTCTCTCTCTTGTCTCTTTCCCCGATTTCTTATCCCTCCCTAGAGCCCCCCTCAGCATTGGGGCTCCCCCAGGGCTCCCCTAAACTCAGCACTTCTTCGAGGAGTCAAAGAACAGCCAGGCCTCAGACAGCTTGTCCTCTGGAGCATAAGTCCTCCCGGTGGAACCCCGAGTGCTCTGCTTAGTCCTCCCTCTACTTCCCTCTCTTTTCCTGGGACCCCGGACCTTCCCTGGCCTGCCCCCACCCACCCACCCACCCACCCGGACGCTTCCCGTCAGGGGCTCCCTGGACCCCACAAGCAAAAGGCTGGAGAGTCCAGGTGGAGAAATTCCCCTTGTAGGAAAGGGACAATCTTGAGTGAGGCGGAGGAAACTCAAATTTCCCGTTCGCGCTCCCGTGGTGTCCGCGGGGGCGGGAGGAGGAACGGAGATGCGGCCAAAACTCTGCCCCAAAAGAGGAAGCAACCGTGGATTGACAGATGGCCAGCCCTAGAAAAGCCCTGGGCTCCCATAGAAGCCCGGCTCTGCCCAGACCAGCAGGGTAGACCTCGCCATCCTTCTTCAGGTCTCACTTCCCCTATAGCGCAAGGGAGAATGGACCCGGGAATTGATCTCACCCGTCCACCAGCGGCCCAGGAAATGGGGGGAGGGGTGTTTTGGTTCAACTGAACAAAGATCGGATACCGGCCCTGTATTCAACCTTGTATTAAGTCTCTCTGAGGAATTAAAAGGAGAAAACACTAATGATACTGGGTCTTGTTGACACCTAGGTGTAAAACGCTTCCGTTGATACTAGCGGTTTATAAAAAAGCGCGGTGCCCAAACCAGCATCACCTGGGGACTTGCTAGCTCTGCAAATTCTAGCACCTCAGCCAGACCTAGTGACATTCTGGGAACTGAAGCCATGCAGTCAGTGTCTGATGGAGCCTTCAAGAACATTCTGACACTTGCCCAAGTTGAAGAACCCACTGCATTTTACCAAGGTTGTTCCTTCGCACCTGCTGTCCCCTACGCGTGGAATGTTCTTTCCCCCAGATCTGCGGTCAGTTGTCCTTCTGAGTAAAGAGGATGAATTAAAGTCCAGCGCCTACTTTTACTGTCTCCCCAAATCTCACTGCAACCATAGTTAAGGGACTGTCTTAAAACCTAAACCAAAACATGTCAGCCATGGGGTGGAATGCCAAATAAACATTCCGTAGCAAAATACCACCATCAACCACCATGTCTCACGCCTCAGTTATTGGTGACCTCCTGCCAACTCCAAAAGAGATGTGGTAGGTGGCAGCTAAAGTAGAAGTGTTGGTTGAAAGTAAATTCCCAAAAGAGATACCAGCTCTGCTCCCCAGTAGGGTGGAAACACAGCCATTTCTTGGTTGCCTTTTTTTCCCCTCCAGACCACGGAAATCTCAACATTTCTGGTGGGAGGAATGCAGTTGATAACAGAAGAATCATGCTAGCATCATGTGTGAATCAAATGTGTGAACTTGAATGCAAGAGTTGAAACTGTCCCACCTTGACCCTCGCCCCCTACCCAGCAGCCAGGACCTGAAAGATGGGGATGGGTGGGATCTTTTCTCAGAGGAATCTGACCAGCCAGGAAGATAGATACAAAGATTCTGAGGACAAAGAGGCTTCACCAGATACCATCGCTCTGCCAAGAAGCTCACAGGCCACGGGCCCGTTCTGTTTATTATTAAACCCCACCCCAAGGCAGCTCACAGACAAGGTTTGCCTGAGCTGACAAAAAAGAGGAATTCAGAGAACTCCCGGGCACCGTCTCGGACAACCCAAATGAAAGTGTCTCTCTCTCGGGCCCCAGTTACATCACCCCTTGAAATTTCCTTACTAGCAGTTTCCACCACGTGAGATATTCTTGTTCGTTTGTTTACTTGCTCATGGTTGTTTTGCCCCAAGAAACTGTTAAGTCCCAAAGAGGAGTATCTTTGCCTGCCTGGTTTCCATGCTACCTCCAAAACCTAGAAAATTATAGGCCTTGATAGTATTTATTGAATAAAGGAATGAATGAAGTATAATAGTTACCTGCATGGATTCTAGAGGTGAAAAAACCTTAGTTCACTGACACTTTGTGTGTTTTCATTTTGAAGCAGCTGGGAAAAGTCAAAAGAAGACTCCTGACAAGTGCAAATCATGTGAGATTCAAATTTCAGTGTCCACAAATAAAATTATATCAGCACACAGCCACGCTCATTCGTTTCCATACAGTCTGTGGTGATTTTTGCAATGTTCCGGTCAAACAGAGATTGTTTGGCCCACAAAGCCCCGAATGTTTACTCTCTCTGGTCTCTCAGTGGAAAATTTGCTGCCCCCGCTCTAACAGTCTGGCATTTCAGCCCTCCAGTGTCTTGCTATGTGGTCTGGGGCAAGCTGCTTCAGCTCTCTGAGCCTCACTTTTCACATCCACTAAATGGGACTAAGAGTAAATCTCAAAAGGTAGCTGAGAACTTGCTGTGAGCAGTGGCAGGCCCATGGCAAAGGCTCATTCCAGGTGAGCTGGATCACTGAGTTTTCTACAATTCCAATGGCTGAAGTAAAAAAAAAAAAAACAAAACTGAGACTCCAAAAGTCAAAGTCACAGTCAAGGACTTCCAGTGACTTCTGAACTCTAGATGCCAAGGGGCTTAGCAGAATTCTGTACACCCCCTCCAGGGTGGGGGAACAAGGCCTGGCAGCCTGGGGAAGGTGCAGGCCGCAGCCAGGGAGCGCCATGACGCATTGTTGTGGTCGGGACATATGACATAGACAGCCCCGCCCACCATGGAGCTCTCAGCATCAGTTGCCTAGCACCCCATGGTTCAGTAGTTGCACCTCTGTGCTCAGCTGTCTCCCCAGGAGAGAGTGGGCCCTGGTTTCCCTCCCCTCTAGAGGAAGGACCTGAATTCTCTCACCATTGCCGTTCCAGGGCTCAAGGGAGGGATTGGGCAGGAAGTAGTTGGGGGGGGTGGGGAGGACCCTTCTCTCCTCTCAGAGGCCCAGAAAACAGGCACCTCCTCTAGGAAGTATGCCTTGATTTTTCCTAACCAAACTCACCTGAGTTCCTGACTGCCCGCCACCCTGTATGAAGTCCATTGGCCTGGATCCTTCATGTCCCCACAGGCAAAGCCTGAAAGAGATCTTTAGTGATTACTGGGTAAGTGCACAGTGAGAGGGCATGGGATGCATCAGGGGGCTGTAAACCAAGAAAAGAAGAAAAATGAGAAGAAGAATTGAGTGAGATTGGTTTTGAACTGAAGGAGTGTCCACACGTGTTCAAGGAGGAAATTGAAACAGAGAGAGGAATCACGTTCTCCAGGTTAGGTCTCTGGAAAAGCTGGGTCCAAGTCTCCTCAGCCCTGGGGAGGCCAGGGAAACACAGACCCAGCATGTGAATGCACTTGCCAGATTGTGTAAACATGACAAGGCGTGATGGTGCCATTAGACTTTGTGGAGTTGGGGTTCCTACCCAGCTACTGTTGAACTGTGTGTTTCCAACATAATGAGTGTTCAGGATAAGCAAAGTGGTAGTGAGGGGATGTACCTACCAGTGTGTTTCTAGTTGAGGAACAACAATGGCACAAGATCCCATCTCTGAGCCTCGCTTTTCACACCAGCTCCAGGAGTTGGTGATGGACAGGGAAGCCTGGTGTGCTGCAGTCCATGGTGTGGCAAAGAGTCAGACACGACTGAGCTGAACTGAACTGAACTGAAATGGGAATAAGAGAAGGTCTCAATGCATAGCTAGCTTTAAATCCCAGTTCTGTCTCAAAGCAAACGCCTTCACCTCTCTGCCTCGAGGTTCCCATCTGGGAAGTACAGAGACCACCTCCTAGGATTACTGTCCTGAATCGGAAGCCAGAATGGCACCTGGCATACAGCAAGTGCTCTCTGGCATGATTGAGGCTGATGGTCTGGTGCCTCTGTGTGACTTGTAGACGGGGATTTGATCCTGTAGATGAAACACCAGGGTCCAGAAACGAGTGCAGATGTCTGGGCCAAAAGAGAGGCAGGAAGAATTCAGAATGGAAATAGTCAGAAGTGTCATCGAAAGAGAAATGGTCAGATTATCACTCATAGAATCAGTTCAGTAATCAAGCCATGGGGGAGGTTGAGTCATCTATTTGGGGCCCGATAGAGATCTCTAAGGGCTAAGAAAACAAAGAATGCGGATTTGGTTTTAGAGCAAAGACACATTTGCATAGCACACATCTGGAAGGTTTATAAGAAGCTTAGTGGGGGACTTCCCTGGTAAGACTCTGCACTCCTAATGCAGGGGGCCTGGATTCGATCCCTGGTCAGGGAACTAGATCCCACATGCCACAACTAACACCCAGGGTGGCCAAATAAATAAATTTTTTAAAAAAAGGAAGGAAGCTAGAGGTATTCAGGAGAATTATCTGAAAAAGAGATCATGAACCTTCCACTGTATAAGCTTCTGCCCACTTACATTTTCCACATTTGCTTTGTCTTGGTTTGTGTGTGTGTGTTACGTACAGAATCGTGGTCAGGTATGAGCACATAGAAAAACCAGTGGCCACACACACACACACAAAATTTAACAGAAAAAAATAAAAAAGAAAGAAACCAGTGACCTGGTCTATTTGGAGGAAGGGAAAATTTTCACACTAGTGACATCAAAGGTAGGAAATGGTGTTTCCCTGCTAATGGCAGTGGACAGACACAGGGATGGGGAAGACCCAAGCATACCAGGGCAGGCCCTGGGTACCCCTCAGAGGGCCCGGTCCCTGAGAAGCCAGCTCACTCTGCTGAGAAGCAAGCCAGCCTGTCCCAGGAAGGAAGTCCCAGCATGGCTAACACCTGGAAGGGACTCTCCAACTGGCCCAGAAAGGCAGCCACCAGACAGACTCTGGTGTACAAAGGACATCCCAATTCAGGCAGTACACAATTACACAAACAAAGACAGACACACAAACACACAACACATACACATACACACACTGAGACATATAATCACAGATACACAAGAGCAGCCACCAAAGCTAGCCACAGACACACACAGAGACACAACAGATACATATTCAGAGCATATACACCCAAGAAGATAAGTACACACAATAGCAGGCCCACAATCACATGCATACCAAAACAGTGGTGGGGATACACCATATAGGCATACACACAGTCACACACTAAGACATGCCCAGAGATGCAATCCTAGACACACAGCTGCCCAAGCTAGCCGCAACAGCACAAAAGTCACACATGCCCAGAGTCACACATACCCACTAACACATAGCCTGAAAGAGTCTTGAAGGCTCTGGGATACACATTCAAAGACACACAGTGTCAGATGCCCAAAGACCACCAAAGGCACTTAAGTCACACACCGACTGACCCAGGCTGACCTGGAAAGACTGGCAAAGACACAAATGCAAGGGAACACAACCAAAGAAATCCAGGTCCCGCCCCCAGGGAAGATCCAGGGTCTTTGAGCCACCAAAGATCCACCCCCCAGGCTCTCCTTCGGGGGGGCCTATCCCTTCCTCCCTTCCTTAAGGAAACTCTGGGTCCCTTTCCTTGGCAGTGTGGGCCGCGGGCGACCCCTGGTGGACCCGGCGCCTCGGTCCAGGGCTTCACGGAATGGGCGGGTGGGAGGAGGGTGTCTAGGCTGAAAGGATGAAAAAAAAATGCTTCGGCGTCTACTGAAAAACTTGGAGAAAGGCGCGTGGTAACAGGGAAAGGGAGACACCGGAGCCCTGCTGGAACGGGACCAGACAGGGTCTTGGACGCAGGAACAGGGCATAGGAAGCAGGAGTGGGACTGAAGACCCTCACCCATCCCCACTCGGGGCAACCCCGGGTCCCCGCGGGGACGGTGCTCCGGAGACAGTAAAGACAGGGTAAGCCCCGAGGCGAATTCCCATTGGCCCGCGCCGGACCAATGAGGAGCTGCAAGGACTCCCGGCGTGGCGGAGAGGTACAGGGCAGCCGTTGATGGAGATGGAAGGGTCCCGCCTGCCCAAGCAGGCTCTCAGCCGGAGAATGACCACCAGGGAATCGCCCAAGGTCTGCAATCGCCAGCACGGAGACGTCTCTCCCAGGAGGACTCTCGTCAACTCCGATATGACTTTGACCCGCGGGACCCTGAGAAAGGTGGGCTTGCCCCTCGCAGAGCAGCCCCAGTCTCCCAAGCCCCACCATTTCCCTGTCATACTTCGTAGCACTTTCCACTTCCCTTTCTCCCAGGCCCCTCCCACTCTCCCGCCCTCGGCATCCCAAGCCCTGCCCATTCACCAGCCCCTCCCACTCCCCTGTCATTCACCATAGGCACCGCCCACTTCCTAGACACCATTGTCGCAAGCCCTGCCCGCCCTCCAGTCCCGCCCACTTTCCCGTAAGCTCCGCCCACTTCTCAGACCAACTTCCGAGGTCTTGCCCACTCTCCTGGCCCACTCACTTTTCTACTTTTCTCGGGGCAGCACTGCCCTCTCCCAGGCTCCGCCTTTTTATTGTCTCCCTAGTCTGACCTTCCTGGAGACTCCAGTCTCTGAGGATTTTGTCCTGGGTTACACTTTTCCAGAACTCTCTGCCCCATTCCCAGTCCAGGTCTTTGAACCATCCATCCCCACTCCTAGTCTGACTTTTCTGGAGTCCTCTGGTCTCTGAGCATTTTGTCTGAGCACTCAATCCCCACCCACTTTGTTCCTCTCCACCTTCTTCCAGACCCCACTCAAACTTTCAAGACCTTACCCCCAAATCAGTCAAGTCCCTAATGGGACGGGGCTCCCAACTAATGGAGTCAGGGAGGCCTCAGTTTCCTCCGACCCTTAGGCCATCTTCAGGAAGGTCCCACCCCCTTGGCCATTCTCGGGGTTGCCCCGCCTCCTTGGCCATCTAATTACTGGCCTGCAATGGGACCCCTCCCCGCCCACCTTGATCTTCACCATTCAAACCAGCCTCTCCCCCACTGTGACCAGATGCCTCTTAAGTTCTAATCCCAGTCTGGGTGGGCATGCCAACCCCTTCGTTCCCCACAGTCAATCAATTTACCACATACCGTCTTGGCCTTGCCTGAGTTGGAGGTCTGATACCAGTGCCTGTGGCCCGGAGACGACCCGCGCAGGACGCCCCTATTCCATCCGCTGCGACACTCCTGGACTGCCAAGCTGTTGGTGGCTTTGGACTTATTCTGTCTGATGCTGGGTGAACCCCTCCCTACCATCCTTGAGCCCCTGCCCCATGTGGACACCCAAGAAGCCTTGGAGGGAGTCTGCTGTGTGTCTTTATCTGAGGTTTGCTAGGCCTGGGGCTGGCTGCCTGCCTTAACGTGTGTACTTGGGCTGTGTGTCTTCACATTGGTGTCATCAGTATATTTCTGGGATGTCTGGGTCAATGAGACTCTGCGTGAAGGGAGCAGAAAGGGACTCTCCACAAGAATGGCTTTTGTGTGCTTACCTGTCATCCCGAATCTGGATGCTGGGGTCAGCATCCAGCTGCACATCTTTTTTTTTTTTTCCAGTCTTGCATATGACTTTATGTGCCGTAAGTCTCCTTGAGTTGTGTATCTGGGTCTGTCTATGTGTCTGTGGTGGGAGGTATGTTTGTACTATATATATCTCTGTGTGCGTTTTGACTATGTGTATGTTGTGTGCAAGCCCCTGGGTCTATCTATATGTCTGGGGCTGGTCTGTGTTGCACTTATATCCATGTGAATGTATAATTCTGTGTGTGTATGCAAATGTGTGTGTCCCTTTGGGTCCCTGAGTTGCATAGTGTATTGCAGTGTTGCATGCTGTATTGGCTTGGGGGGGGAGTTCACTGTGGGTGACTCCTATGCACACACTTGATCTATGGGAGCCCGTGACTATGCATCTGGGGTGGTGGTCCATCCAGTGGTATTTGTGTAGCCAGCTTTGTGTCTGGGTCTATATGGGCCTTTGTGTATTGTAGGTATATTGTTATATGTCTGTGTGTGTACATCTGAATCTGGGTGTCTGGGTCAGACTGTGTGGTCGTATAATTGTGTGTGTCAGATTCTGGGTGTGTGGGTACCCATGTGGCTTGAGCTTGCTTGGGCTCAAGCAAGTCCAGATGTGTGGCTGGCATAAACCAATACCCTCAACTCCCCAGTGTGTAGAACTAGTGACCAAAGCTCCTTTGCTGGGATGAGGAGGCCAGGCTGGGACACTAGCTTGGCCCTTCCAGCCCAGAGAGGGAGCTGAGGATGGTGAGAGATTGGGTTCCAGCTGCCTGACTCCACTAGGCTTCAGTGGATGACAGAGTCAAGACGGGGAGGGAAGCCTGGTACAGGCTTTTAGAATGATCAGGCCTACACCTGCTAGAGACAGGCCCCCTGGCCTGCCTGACTTCAGGATGTGGTAGTGTCAGGTGAGGGGCCCCAGATGCTGCTCACACACAACTTTGCTACCATTTTCTCCTAGCTCGATCAGCCACAGAACCATCCACATAGGCATGGAAGAGACACAGATACCAGACAGGACCACACACACCAGCGCAACCCACACATCCATGGACACAATGTATAATCTCCTTTTTTTCTCTCTCTCTCATACACATACAGAGACATGTACTCATGAGCATCACAAACACCTATTCACACCACATACACATGACATAGCTATCCATCAGCACACATACACATTCACACACAAGACATGCAGAGCCACAGTCATACACATTTACGTGCATACATGAGGACACACACACACACATACGGAAAGAGTGAGCCCTCCCACCCTTATCCCTTCCATCATTATCCTTACCCCTTACCCACCTCATTCCCAAGACCCCACCTGTGAATGGGTCCCTGGGGCTCTGGCCTCCTCTGGCCTCCTGGCCAGACTGTCCTCCCTGCCCATGTCCCCGTGTCCAGGCTGTGGCGATGCTGGGAGGACAGCCTGGGCAGAAGGCCTAAGGAGAGTCAACCTCAGGTGACCCGTCCATGAGTGGGGTCATCTCCACCCCCTGCAGTCAGCCTCCCCATTGTGCTGAGTGAGACCGGTTTGCTGGAACCCCACATCCAGGGCTTCTTTTGCAATGACACCACCATCCAATACCCCCGGATGGCCCATTATATCATCGAAGACTTGGCACTCATGAAGATGGGCTTCTTCATCTCCATCTTCACGGTAAGAGGCTGGCCACTTTCACCTCAGGCTGTGGTGACACGCTATGAGCAAGTTCACCCCTTTTTCTGGCAAAATGGGAACCCCCACGGATTGTAGATCTAAAGCAGGAGTAAATACCACCTCTTTTTCCTACTGAAATGGGACATTTCACTGCCCAATGGCATAAAACCCCTTTCCTTGAGGACAAAGTAAGCCCCCACTTTTGACTTAGTATAACAGAAAGAACCCCCTCTCTGCCTTAGGCATGGAACAGGAAGTTCAGCCCCTCTTCCCCCCAGTAGACTGGGAAGCCCCCACCCTTTATGCAGAAGGCAGGAAGCAGCCCTGCCCCCTGGGAAGGTGGGAAACCTCCTCCTTTCAAACATGGAACATCCTGCTTCTTCCTCCTGGTGACAGGGGATGTTCTACAATTTTCCAGCATTTGGGTGGAAGTCTATCCTCTTTTCCTGGTATAACAGGAAGTCCTGCCCTTTTCAGATATGAGACAGGAAATCCTGCCTATGTATGACATAAATTAGGGAGATGTCCCACCTCTTTTCCTGGTATGACAGGAACTCCTGCCCTTTTTAGATATGGGACAGGAAATCCTGCCTATGTCTGACATAAACTAAGGTGATGTCCCACCTCTTCTCCTGGTGTAATAGGAAGTCCCACTCCTTTCAGATGTAGGACAGAAAATCCTACCTATGTCTGATATAAGCTAGGGCCATGCCCTGCCTCTTTTCCTGGTATATCGAAATCCTACCCCTCTCAGATATGGGACCCCCCCTTTCCCTGGTGATAATGGAAAGCCATATTCCTTGGCTTAGGAGTCTTGCCCATTTCAGACACAAGGGGTGGGAGAAGTTACCCATTTGTGTGTGTGTGTGATGGAATGAGAAGACCCACACTTTCGGCTGGTTTAGTGGGAAACAACAGCCTTCCTTCCATATGCGATAAAGCATGGAGGATTTCCCTCCCTCCTTGCACCCCCTGCCCTCAGCAGTGACCCCTTCACCCATCCACTTCGGCCCCACAGACCAGCCTGGGAGAGCTGATTCGGGTCAGGGGCCTGCAGCTGAGCTCGCCAGCCTTCATGAGCAGCACTTACGTGGCCATGATCTACAAGCAGCTGGGCGCCTTCATCTTTGGCAGCCTGGCCAGCTTCTCCCTGACCAGTATCGCCAAGATGACCACAGGTCAACTGCGGCCCCACTTCCTGGCCACGTGCCTGCCCGATCCAACCTCCTTCGACTATGAGAACGGCTACATCAGCAACTACAGCTGCACAGGGCATCCTGAAGATGTCCTCGATGCCAGGCGAGTGGGTGGGCAGGGAGGGGAACCCAGGAGGTGTCCCCACCCCACCCCACCCCACTCCACCCCCAGCTGATATCCATGCTCCCCCTGCCCATCCCCCAGGATGTCCTTCTATTCTGAGAACGCCTCCTTGGGGATGTACTGCATGGTGTAACTGGTGGTGAGTGTTGGTGGGAGGTGAGCTGCACACCCAGCAAGGCCAGAAAATGCTCCATTGTTCCCCCCGCCCCCACCATCCCATGGTCGGTGCCCGCAGTGCCAGGCACAGCTCCCACAGAGCTTGTGTGTTCCCCCAGAGTCAGGAGGGCAAGAGTGGGGTGGGCCCATCTCCTCTTAAGATTCATTCAGCGTCCGGGTCCCAGAATAGCAACTTGCAGAACCCTCTGTGCCCCCGGCCCCTGCCCCTGCAGCTGGAGAGGGCTCATGCCAGGCTGGGTCTGTGCCCAGGACTGGGCTCCACCAAGGACAGCAGGAAGGGAAATCACCCCAGACCCAGCTGAGGTGAAGATCTAAGATTTAGGTAATAAAATGGCAGGAAGGGAAGCAGGGGGGTGGAGGGAGTTGCCTCTGGGAAGGGGCCAACAACCCAGGGGCATAGACTTGGGTGGCAGAAGCGGATTAGAGCCAGCCCAAAGCACCCAAGCTCGGTGGTGGGCGGACACAACAATACAGAGGCTCCAGCCACTGGGGCACGGGATGATCACACAGCTGCCTTCATACCAGCAATGTTTTCTCCCTGAAAGACAGTGGATTCAACTGCCAGCTCCCCCAAACCACCCCTGCCCCTTTGTATTTTAAGACAAAGTAATGACAGCTTCCTGTAGTGATAAAAGCGCAGAGTTCTGGAGGTGGAATGTGCATGTTCTATTCCCAGCCTCAACTTTGTGTGACATTGGGTGAGACCTTGAAACTCGGTTTCCTCATCTGTGTGGAAATAGCACTTGCCTCCTAGGGTTGTGGTTTCATGAGTTAACACATAGATGAGCTGATACCCTCAAAGCACTTAGAACAGGATCTGGCCTAAAGGTCACTATTAATCATTAATAACAAGCAAAACAGACTCCCTTCGTCCCCAGGGTGGGGCGGTGGTTGGGGGACTGGGTGCACGTCAACATGCCAACGTGCAGAGACAGACCACACACAACTCAGAGGCCAGCCTTGCTCTGATTTTTGGACGGAGTGGACAATTTTGTGAACAGAATAGTCTAGATCCCGGGGAATTCCCCCACCTCTTAAGTGTCCCTCAAGTGCCCACAGTTGATCTCTCCCTGAANCAGTCCCAAAGCAAAGTAAGCCCAGAAGTTGGGCCAATGATGTCTCACTGGAAAAGAGATATTAAACATATGAAATCTATCTCACTCAAAGGAATGCAAAGAAAGGCAACATCAAGCTACCTTCTCACTAATCAGACTGGCACAGAGAAAAAGAAAAAAAAATCGGAATTACTCCATCAAGGCTGTGGGAAAATAGGCTCTCTCATTCTTTTTTTGTGGGGGCTGTGATATGCACCATGCGCCATTTTAGTTCCTCAACCAGGGATTGAAACTGTGCCTCCTATATTGGGAGCACAGAGTCTTAACACTGAACACAGTAAGGAAGTCCTTCTTATTCTTTATTGGAGGTTTTTCCAGTGGGACAATTTCTGAGAGGTCAGGGAAAGTAGAACTCCTTACAGTTCCTGTTTTTTGAAATGGAAGTGTTAGTCGCTTGGTCGTGTCTAACCCTTTCCGACCCCTGTAGCCTCCAGGCTCCTCTGTCCAAAGGATTTTATCAGCAAGAATACTGGAATAGGCTGCCATTTCCTTCTCCAGGGGATCTTCCCAATTCAGGGATCAAACCCTGTTTTCAGGTATGAAAACATACTTTATTAATTCTTTGGTATTATTTACAGTTTGGGGCTATTTTGATAAACACCATGAACATCCGTGTACCAGTCTCCTGCCACAAATGCCATTAACTGAGTCATATGTGAAAAATGTGCATTTTCATCCAACTACATAGAAAAATCCAACATGGCCTAATTTTTTCAATACTTGTTTAGTCAAATCTTCAGCAAGATTTTCCATGTCTTCAATAACATTTGCTACCAAGGAAAGGAATGTTTTAGTTTGTCACCATGTTGTTTTAACTATATTTACGAAGCAGGAAGAATGAAGTGTTTTCCCAATAATTCAGCTTTTTGTATTCACTCTTAAGGAAGAAATTTCAGATGCTTCTCATTTTTTTATTATTATTTAATTTAAAATGATTAAGAAACAAATAAAATATTCCAAACCTTAAATATTGTTGAAAACCACTTTAGAAAAACCACCATTTGGGGGAAAGATTGTAGGTAGTTGTTATCACGTTTGCCTACACATGAAAGGTCCCCCATTTGAAACCAGGCAGAAACAGTCATCTTCCCATTTTCCCCAGCTAGAACACTGAGCGGGAGAAGGCATTGGCAACCCACTCCAGTACTCTTGCCTGGTAAATCCCATGGACGGAGGAGGTGGTGGGCTGCAGTCCATGGTGTCGTTAAGAGTTGGACACAACTGAAGCAACGCAGCAGCAGCAGCAGAACACTGAGCACACATATTCACTCCTAAGGAAGAAATTTCAGATGCTTCTCATCACTTTTTTTTTTCTTTTTACATTTCTTGTGCACTTTATTTCTATTACTATTACATCAGCTCCACCTCAGATCATCAGGCATTAGACCCTGGGGGTTGGGGATTGATCCCTGGCCTTGAGCCCTATTGATATTTGGACCAGATAATTCTTATAGTGGAGGGAGCCTGTCCTATCTGTGCACCCTGTGCTCAGCAACATCCACTTACCAGGTGCCAGTAGCACATGCGCGCGCGCGCACGCACGCACACCATTTAGGCATAACTAAAAACATCCCCAGACATTGCCAAATGTCCCTGCCCTGTGGAGAACCACAAAATCGGAAGCCACTGGTGAGAACTGTGAGGTCCCAGCCCGTCCATGGGCCTGGCCAACCGCACTCCTACCCCGAGGTAGCCAGAAGCCACAGAGGATGTGGAGGCTTCCCGGGATGTCACAGCGGGAGGCTGCCAGCAAAACCTGGCCCCAAGAGGGGCAGCACAGGAAGTCTAGCCCAGTGTCACAATAATAATTGTAACACCAATAGCTACAACTTACTGTTCGCTCTGCCGGGGGACCCTGGGGCCGGCTTTCGGACCCTCCCAACTGCCTAGAGGGCAGGCATTCTTGAAGGCTCCATCTTGCAGAAATTCAGCAGGGGGAGGCCAAGTGACCTGTGCAAGGTCATGCACTAATTAGAAATGCAAAGGCAGGACGTTGACTTGTAATAAATTGTAACAATGTAACTGGGAGGTGCCGAGCTGGGGGCAGCAAGGCAGCCCCCACCTCGGAGGGGCCCTCCATTCCCCTGCAATTTGTAATCCATCTGTAAGTCTTAATCACTGATTTCGACCCTAGGCAACGCTGAGGATGACCCCACCTGCGACAGACTCAGAGCCCAATAGAGGTGTCCGGGGGGAGCGCACAGCCCGCCCTCCCAAAACACACACACACCTCCGTCGGCTTCCAGAAGCATCCGCAGTCGAACAGGGGAGGCAAATCGTGGTTTTACTTACTACGCAGCTTCAAGAGAAGTCCAGCAGAAACCGACCGCCTCCCACCTCCCCAAACGGTCGGCTCCTAGGGAGCGGCCAGCTCGGCCGCCACCACGAGCCCTCGTGGTTAAGGCGAGCGTTTCTGGAGAATGACAACGAAACGGGATGGGAAGGGAGGCTTGGGCCGGAGAAACTGAGGCAGGGTCGTTCGCGGCGGGGGTGGTGGGGGGAGCTGCTGAATCTCCCCGCTGCACGTTTACGGGGCTCTCTCCCTCCCTCTCCGCTGCTCCCCTCTCCTCCCCGCCCAATCCCGGCAAATCCCAGGTTGCCAGGCCCGTCTGGTGGCGGGAGGGGTGGGACGGAGGGACGGGGTACTGAGGCGCCCGAGAGGCCTCGCCCCCACTGCCTGGAGCTGGGGGGAAACGGGGGTCTCCAGGAGGGAGGGAAGGGATATCCTTCCCTCCCCGCACCCTCCGTCCCGGGGCGGGGCCAGGGGGCGGAGCGGGCCAGTGACCGGGCCGTGACGCGAGCCCCCGCCTGCTCTTATAGAGGCGCCCCGGGGGCGCAGGGACCGTGCTTCGCCGCCGCCTTCGCCGCCGCAGTTCGCAGCATCAGCACCAGCGCCGCCGCGTCCAGCATCAGCGCCACCGCCATGCGGGAGATTGTGCACCTGCAGGCCGGCCAGTGCGGCAACCAGATCGGAGCCAAGGTGCGCGGGGGGACCGGGCCCTGGGAGGATGCCGAGCGCGGTCCACTGAGCCCCGCAGAGCTCCTCCACCCCGGGCCTGTGGGGGGGCCAGGTCCCCCAGGAAGCCAGCACCCCAGGGACGGTGGGGGAGGGGCGCGAAGGGCAGGGCCAAGCTGGGAAACAAAGAACTGATGGGGGTGGGGCCCGACCTCTGTCCGCTCGCCGCAGCTGGCCTCACAGCTGGCCCGCTGGCCCCTCCACAGGCACAAAGAGACCCCGCCCCTGCCCACGGCAGCAGCCCGGGAGGGCTGCCCCCACCGGCCGTCTTGGCTGGGGTGTTGAATCTGCTTCACCCCGCCCCCACCGCTCCCTACTTGCTGCCTCATCCTTGCCTGCCCACTCTGAGTCCCGGCCCCCCACTCACCTTGCTGGGGGACAGGTGGCAGCCAGGGAGGTGACTGGAGATCCTGAGCTCAGAAGACGGAGGTGGGGGAAGGCCTGGCCATTGACACCCCTTCTTGGTCCTTTCTACCTCCCCCTCTCTAGTTTTGGGAGGTGATCAGTGATGAGCATGGCATTGATCCCACGGGCACATACCACGGGGACAGTGACCTCCAGCTGGAGAGAATCAACGTGTACTACAATGAGGCCACTGGTAAGGGGAAGAGGCACCTGGCCAGAGTGGGGGTGGAGAGGGCCTGGGAGGGGGCTGGGTGCTGGTTCCTGGAGTTGACCAAGCTGCTGTCCATCTGCTTCTCTGCAGGAGGAAATTACGTGCCCAGAGCTGTCCTGGTGGACCTTGAGCCGGGCACCATGGACTCTGTCCGCTCTGGCCCCTTCGGCCAGATCTTTCGTCCTGACAATTTTGTGTTTGGTGAGTCACCGTGAGGCACAAGCAGGGAAGTGCCCCCCTCCCCCCAATTCTTTCACTTCCACATGCTTGGTGAAAATTCTCCACCTAGCATCTAGACTGAGGAACTCAGAGCCCAGCGGGGAAAGCGGATACACAGGCCACTGTGGGAATCCAGGGGAGGCATCTGACACAATAGGCGAAGTGCAGGGTAGAGAAGGCTTCCCAGAGGAGGTGGCATTTTAATTTAACCCGTGGACCTGAGCCAGACTGCAGCATTCAGATCCCAGCTCTGCCACTTCATGCAGTTGACAAATACTTATTAAGCACTTACTGCATACCCCAGGCCCTACTGTACCCACCCTGGGAATATAGCCAAGAGCAAAACAAACAAAGCTTTCTGTCCACCCCTGCAGCTGACATCCTGCTGGAGGGAGCCGGGAAGATAAATAAATGGGAAGAGAAGGAAAAAAAAGTCAAACTCAATCACTGATTGAATCCACTGGGTGATTTTGGAAAGGCCCTACAATCTTCCTGTGCCTCAGTCTCTTGATCTTTAAAACAGGGTTAATACAGAGACTTACTTTTCGAGACTGTGAGGCTTAAAGCCACTGATATGTATAAGGAACTCAGAACAATGCCTAGCACAGAGGAAAAAATACATAAGCATTTGATGTTTTGTTGTAGGTTTTATTATCAGTATAACTCTTAATGATGTCTTCAGCCTAAAAGATGAGTGGGACTTGGGCTGACCAAAGGTCAATGAAAAGAGGAAAGGTGTGCAAGACAGAGGGAGCAGCATAGGTGAAGACAATGGACACATTTGCAGCCCTCATGTTCAAGGGCTTTCCTCATACTTCTCGGTCAAGCTTCCCAGGGACTTCCCAGGTGGCGCTAGTGGTAAAGAACCCACCTGCCAATGCAGGAGACAAGAGAGACCAAGTTCAATCCCTGGGTCAAGAAGATCCCCTGGAAGAGAGCAACCCACTCCACTATTCTTGCCTGGAGAACCCCATGGACAGAGGAGCCTGGCAGGCTACAGTCCATAGGGTTGCAAAGAGTCAGACATGACTGAGGCAACTTAGCATATGCACTAGGTCAAGCTAAATGCACACCCCCACCTGACTTCAGAGCCCAGGCTCTCCCCC